AAAGAAGAAGAAGAAGAAGAAGAAGAAGAAGAAGAAGAAGAAGAGAACCTCTAAGGAGTGCTAAACAGTCAGTGGTTGGTTGGTTGGAGTGCCTGCAACGCTATTAGGGGGGCTGTTGTGTTCAGGATGTCTGTGGTGGCTGTTCCGTGAATGAATGATGACAGACCTTCGCCGGAGAGGCTTCCTGGTTCGGAAGGTGGTGTGGGAACCAACAGTCTGCGGGGTTCTACTTGTAGTGTGAGTACGTGACGGATTGCTTTGGTCTGTGTTGGATGTGTGGATTGCCTTGTTTGCACTCATCCTTTGCTGCCTTGCTGCCCACCAGCTTGGCCATGGTCTTTTCATGTGCTTTGCTTGTGTGGCATGTAGTTTGGCTGCTTTATTAGTGCTGCCTTATGCTTCTTGTTGCCTTGCTGCTCGTCCCGCTCGTACTCTCTTTCCATGCCCTATGCTTGTGTGTTGTGTAGTCTGGCTGCTTTGTTAGCATTGCCTTGTGCTTCCCTGTACCCTTCTCCTGGCAGCCCATCCGCTTGCCTTGCCTTGTCTTTCCATGCGGCATACCTGTGTGCCTTGTAGTTTGGCTGCTTTGTCAGCGTTGCCTTGTGCCTTGCACCATCGTTGCTTTGCTACTTGTGTGGCAGTCTATCCATTTTCAACGGGGGTTAAATCGCTACTCTCTTCACCCGAATAGAACACCCGGTCATTATTACTGTATTTGGCACAACTTTCTGTCCAGATGCAGCGATAATGACCGGGCGTTTTATTTGGGTTACCGCTAGTACACAGCCCCAGCCTTGCAGTCTAAAACTTGTTGCCACAAGAAAACGAGCGAGGCCGAAACGTCAAACGCTGGGCCCACCGTTGATAAATTCAATCGGCGGCCCCGTTTTCGTTTCACGTCTCCAGAATTTGAGGTGTCAGGCCTGCGGCACCGGTAGCCGTGTACTGGTGCTTTAAAAGAGTTTGTTATGCTGATATCGAAACCGCAGGGACGTCTCTCACCCAGTGTATGCTCGCTAGAGGTCACCCCTCGAGTGTCTTGGGGAGAGGTGGGTCCGCCTATGTGCATACTTGCCAGCGTCAGCTGCCCACATGCACTAGTATTGGTTCTTTCTGAAATATGCGTTAAACACACACACACACACACACACACAAATTCTTTGCCCTTTTTTACAGGATGGGCTATCTCTCTGTGAAGGAATGTCTGTGGGTGGCCAAAAGTTTTTTGGGGGTGGGAATGCATGTTTGGAGTTTTGGCCACGGTATCTTTGCGAGGAGGCTCAGAGAGTGTTTTCTGTGGGTGTCATTCCCACGGGCTGCTCTTTTGGTGCGCATGGAAGTGGGGAAGCTTCTTAGGGTCTTTTAAGCAGTAGCACTCCTGGTGTCGCGTAGAGATCTTGTGGAGTTTGGGATTATGGCACTCTATACACTCCAGGGACCAGACAGCAAATGAAAGGGTGGTCGTCTAGCCCTGATGTGACAGAGATGATGGTGAAGTGAATGGGTAGTTTGGGATGAATAGCAGTGCCCGTGTTGTTCCTTGTGCAACCAATGGTGGCTTTCTGACTCAGAGGGCTCTCTAAGGTTTTCTTAGATCAATTGCGGGCGTGGTCGTTGCTTTCTTGTTAAGGGAACCCTTTGCATTGTGGTGAAACTAATTTTTGAGTTGTCTATATATATATATATGTAGACAACTCAAAAATTAGTTTCACCACAATGCATATATATAATATATATC